TAAATACAAAATAATAAATCAAACTCCTGATATTAAGAAAGAAGAAGTTAAATCTTCCATGATGAAAATTTAGATGTACAAAATTTATATCTTGTGCTTGTGCAAGTGGATATTAGGACTCAGTGGCCGAGTGGATAACGTGATGGCGTTTGAAGCGAAAGTTAATGCGTTCGAGTCCTAGAGTGAACATCAACTCTGAGATGCAGGTACATCCAGCTTACGAGTCCCAAATAGGACGAAACGTGCGCCCTGGATTCCACTGCTAACCACTATCCATCTTTGCTTATAAGAAAGAAGAAGTTAAATCTTTCATCATGAAACTTTAAATGTCCAAAATTTATATCTTTAATTGCTTAATAAAGTATAGTCGTTTCATATTGGCATGTTTGATCGCCATATTTTGCTTTTCTTCAAAAAGTATATTGTTAAACTGATGAAAAACTCTATTTATTCAAAATCAAAATTTGGCTATACAGTCATAGAATGCTAAGAATTTTATGTGCAGTAACATTTATTTGTATTTTTATAGTTAAACTCATCGGTCATTCAACGCTAGATCACCTTGGAAAACCTGGAAGCACTGGACGGTCGTTTCGTCCCAGTATGGGAGTCCTCAACAGTACTCATCAACGACCCCATTCGCGGAATTCGAACTCAGGACTTATCGGCCACTTAACCTCCAGACCTAAGCCGACATCCAGCTGTGTTAAGGTCTAACTTCAACCAATCCACAAACGTTTAGAATGATTTAGTTACCAAAGTATAAATAGAATAATGTTTGAAACGCAATTAAAAGGTTTTAATAAAAAGAATAAAATATAAAATACATAAGAAAAGAAATTTAGTTAGGATTTATATATAACAGAAAGCAGTAAGCCAGTGTAGTAATCAGTGATGCTATACTCAAAAGTAATCATAATGAAGAACGATGTGAATTACATAAGCGTAATGAGATTACTGACTATTTGACATGATTAGAAGCAAGATCAAATTAATGAACGAAGATCAATAAGATTGTGTAAGAGATAAAATTTGTATATAGTTGAAATCATGAGTCAATTGAAGCTAGACCACCATGGAAAACCTGGAAGCTTTGTAGAGAGATATCAACTTACTGAAGACATTGGTGAATGGTTGCTCAATTTCGTGGATCGATTGACGTTAAACATTAACATCGTTGGATGACGGCTCAGTGGTCTAGTGGTTAAGTGCTCGCGCGCGAGACTGATACGTCCTGGGTTCGAATCGCGCGAGTTGGGATCGTGGATGCGCATTGCTGAGGAGTCTCACAATAAGATGAAATGGTCACCTAGTGCTTCCAGGATTCCCATGATAGTTTAGCTTCAATTGATTCATGATTTCAACTATATAAAATTACAAAAAATCTCCACAAAATACCCTTCTAATAAAGATAAAAATTGGACCAAAGTTGAAAAATTTTAAAAATATTTATATTTGATTAACAATTATTCACCATGACAGTGAAAGAACTACCACACTTGTTTTCTGCATATTTCGGTCAAGTAGGAAACGTTTGATAAAAATTTCATTTTCAAATGAAATAAACATGGTTTTGGTTGTCTGTCAATTATTTCAATATTATCTAGCTCATGCCTATTATGAAAAGGATATCTAGCGGTTGCGCTTGTGAAGACATAACTACTTTTTAGATATAGGTTACTAGGAATGTGTGCAAAAGATGCGATGAGAAACGATTTCTTCTGTCCTTTCTGTATACTTGCTGCCTCAGGTACATGAAAATTGATAAACGTAATAAAAGGTAACACTTAAAGGATATTAAACTTCTTTTTCATGGTATAAGGAAAACGACATGATATAGTGTAACCAATTGAGCTATAGGAAAGTGTCTCCACAGTAAAGTCTTTGTAAGAGTAGTTGAATGACTATAGGTTATTTTCTTTATTCAATTAATTATAAGTTTGCATTTAAAATAAAATCCATATGAACTTCTGAGCTATGTTGGCGTATATGTTGACAGAACATTGCTACACAAATCCTAAGGGTCAGGTTAGAAGATTTTTGTCTGTTTTAATGTCTTAAAAATGAACTTTCCTGGTCAATGTTGAATGTTTCAATCCGAAAACACACTAAGCTTGAATTTTAATTTCTACAACTATAAATAAAAAGAATGTACTTTTACCAATTAACTGAAGTTACAAATGTTAACCACTAGATGCTAGTTCAATGGTTAGAATTTTGATAACTCTTTGTGCGATCCCTGAAAGGCTCATAGATTTGCATGACTAAGGAGCTTTATACCAACATGAAACATCTGTACAATTAATCTAACTGTGAACATTATCATATTGAAGATAGAATATATAAAGCAACAGTATTATTCATTATTTTCACATTTGAAATCATGAGTCAATTGAAGCTAGACCACCATCGAAAACCTGGAAGCACTGGACGGCCAAATCGTCCTACTATTGGACTCCTCAGCAGTGCGCATCCACGATCCCGCACTCGCTAGACTCGAACCCAGGACCTACCAGTCTCGAACCGGAGCCCTTAACCGATAGACCACTGAGCCGGCATCCAACGATGTTAATGTCTAACTTCAACCAATCCACGATTTTGAGCGACCGTTCACCAATTGTCTTCAGTGAACGAATATCTCTACAACAGACTTGGTAGAACTCCACTGGTCACTGCTTCTCACTAGAACTCAAGGAAATATCTCTTGAAGTCTGTCACTAGTGAGCATATGATTATAGATCAGAGAGGGTTTTGTGGAGAATTTAGTATTTTCACAGTTGAAATCATGAGTGAGCACGTGAGCACTTAACCTCTAGATCATTGAGCCAGCATCCAAAGGTGTTAATGTCTAACTTCAAAGGTGATCTGAAGCAATTGTTAGCTCTTATCCTGATTGTCATATCGTTTCATTGAATGTTTCACCGATGCAAATACGTTCCATATGGTTCTGTTTAGCGTGATTCAGTGAGATCCATATACCTTTGTGTGTGTTTTTGTAAGGGAATATAGTGCCACCCATAACCAATATGTTGAATATACATAGATTCGCAAAATCTCTTGACATTCTCGTTCCTTTCTCCTAGTCAATCTATGTCATCTCATGATATCTTCTGACCCGTTGTTATTGATTCATGATCTCAATTGTGTTTTCATTTAAGCTCTAATCAAATTAATTGAATTAAGAAATATTTTTTTAATGCTTATCATTGATCCCATTTAGATTACAATATGACAATGTTAATTAGAATTAGTTCAAATAAAATCACTCACAATGAAGATGATTGAATGTATTTCGAAACGAACAGTAACTTATCGATAAACACTGACTTGATTGTATTTGTTTTTATTACCACCAATATCTTTATTAACCGATAACATAGATCATTCCTCATTTCAATATATATCTATATTGCATGAATTATGTGAAAGTAGTTTTCCAATATAATTCAATCAGTCAGCTACAATGTAGAACCAGGAACATATAAATGCATCAGTCCAAATTGTCATACCTTATTAGCACAACAACAACAACACCAATCAAGATCATTATATTCATAATCAATCTCTTCATTTTTTCAGTATAATAAGATTATTACTTTGTTGTTTTTTACTTATACAACATTAAGCATGAGTTGAGCTTATACTTGAAAATCATTTTAACTCAATCATAATAATTTTAATAGTTGAGATCATGAATCACTTGAAGCACTGGATGGCCGTATCGTTCTATTGTGAGACTCCTCAGTATTGCGTATCTGCGATCTCGTTTCCACCAATCTCCTTCTGATAATAATCAACATATGCTCACTAGTGAATGGTACCAAGAGGTATTTCATGGAATTCTAGTGAGAAACAGTGATCAGTGGAGTTTAATCAGGTCTGTTGTGAGATAGTAACTCACTGAAAACAATGGTGGATGTGTCGCTCAATTTTGTGGATTAGTTGAAGTAAGACATTAACACCGTTGGATGCCGGCTCAATGGTCTAAAAGTTAAGCGGTCGCGCGCAAAACTGATAGATCCTGGAATAGAATCTCAAGAGTCGCGATCATGGATGCGCACTGCTGATGAGTCCCATACTAGGACGATTTGTCCGTCCAGATCTTCCAGGTTCTCCATAGTGGTCTAGCTTCAGATGATTCATGATTTCAACTATTAAAACTAATATAATATCCACAAAACCCCTTATGAGAATAATCAATCATAATATCCCTTTTTTTATTCGTTATGTCATGAAATCACTAAGTGATATAATTATTAATAGATTTCCTATGTATATTGATTAAATTAAAATGTATTATGGTTGCCTAGAAAGTGAAATACTCTAATCACTTATCACATATATCAATGCATCCATAACAAATTCAATCATAGAACAATTACCTATAACATTTAGCTCAAAAGTGACTTTTAAAAACTTAGTTTTGAAAGGGAAATTGAAAATGTGGAATATTTGATTCTTGACTTTATAGTCTAAAGAAAATGTACAAATAGTAAACACTGATGAGGATTGGAATTGACTTATGGGTAGTCGGTGAACTAAAAGCTCCTTACTATTAGAAATATACAGACAACTGGTAATCAGTGATGTAATCAATGATTACTTAGTTAAAATTAATTCAAGACTTAAGTCTGATTCAGTTGTAAATTAAGACAATCCGCATAGGATAAACATATGCCAATAAGAGACTGATCATTCGCAGTCCTAAATAACAATGGGAAGATTCAAGTAAACAATACCGAGTGCATTTAAACTTAACCTCATTGCACAAACAAGCAGCTATCAAGACTGAGTAGATAAGAGGATAACCTAATGGCGTTTGAAAAGAGCAGTGCTGAGTTGGAGTCTCAGAGTGAACATCAACTCTTGGATCCAGGTACATCCAGCTGACCAGTCTCAAATAGGATTCAACTGCTCAGCACTATATATCTTTGCACATAGTACAGGAATTATGATTGTAAAACAGAAAATTTACATTTTAAGGCACAGTATTATTCAATTCAAAACATTGACAAACTTGCAACTGATAGATTCAAAATATCATGAGAAAACAATAAAATGAATGATGATGATGATGATGATGATGATGATGATGATGATGATGATGATGATGATGATGATGATGATGATGATGATGATGATGATGATGATGATGATGATGATGATGATGATGATGATGATGATGATGATGATGATGATGATGATGATGATGATGATGATGATGATGATGATGATGATGATGATGATGATGATGATGATGATGATGATGATGATGATGATGATGATGATGATGATGATGATGATGATGATGATGATGATGATGATGATGATGATGATGATGATGATGATGATGATGATGATGATGATGATGATGATGATGATGATGATGATGATGATGATGATGATGATGATGATGATGATGATGATGATGATGATGATGATGATGATGATGATGATGATGATGATGATGATGATGATGATGATGATGATGATGATGATGATGATGATGATGATGATGATGATGATGATGATGATGATGATGATGATGATGATGATGATGATGATGATGATGATGATGATGATGATGATGATGATGATGATGATGATGATGATGATGATGATGATGATGATGATGAAACTCTTCTACCGCAAAACCGAAATTTTATAGTCCATAGATATTTCGTAAAAAGATATTTAACAAATATTGAGCCTCATTTAGATAACGGTAGTCATTCAAACAAATTTTTAATAATAACAAGAAACTAGTGATTTCATGAATGAAATGTTTTGAACAACCAATGATTAATCAAATTTGCATATATCTCAGTCTTACAAGATGTCAGTTATGTCCCAGACAGCTAAACGGTAGTAGCTCTGAATGTGAAACTGGATGACAAGCAACAGAATCTTCAACAGAGTATTAGCTTTCTTCAGATCACAGGTAAATCTTGCTGATGATTACTGAACAGCGCGAAACTCAAGTCTGGAGATTCTTGTCAACTGCATTCAACCATCAGCATACGCCTTATAATCCCCTCAAAAACTATTCATTTCTCAATATAAAAGCTCATGAAAACTATTTCACACATAACAGAAATGGAAGTAAAATTGATAATGAATGCCTATACATTTAGTGGAGAAATGAAATAAGAAGGATATTTCTTTTTTGTACTTAACAAACGATTGATTGACATCCAAATTATCACTTCAATTTTTAAATAATTTGTTTAAATCTCCACAAAACCTCGTCTGATATTAATCAACATATGCTCACTAGTGACTGGCTTCAAGAGGTATTTCATCGAGTTTTAGTGGGAAGTAGTGACCAGTGGAGTTCAACCAAATTTGTCGTAAGATAGTAACTCACTGAAGAAAATGGTGGATGGTAGGTCAATTTCGTGAATCGGTTAAAGTTATACATTAACACCAATGGATTCCGGCTCAGTGGTCTAGAGGTTAAGTGCTCGTTCGCGAAACTGATAGGTCTTTGGTTCGAATCTCGCGAGTTGGGATCATGGATGCGCGCTGCTGAGGAAACCCACAATAGGACGAAACGGCTGTCCAATGCTTCCAGGTTTTTGATGGTGGTCTAGCTTCAACTGACTCCTGATCTCAACTATATAAATCATGAATAGTTAGTAAATCAAGCAATGATAATACTATCACTAGCATCAATACACAATAAAAATCACGAATATAAAGTCAACTAGTAAAAGGTCAACATTCCAAGTCAGAACAGTTCTAAAGAGCTTATAGAATTCATAAAGACATGAAGTTCAAACTAATGATTGATTGAAAAAAACATCCTAATTCCTCTGATCTATCAAACCTTAAAAAGGATATCCATTAACCATACGCCGGACAATCTAATTAGCAGAAATACTAAGACAAATAAAGGCGATGAAACCCATAAATATAACCGGTCTTCAGCAAAACCATCAGGACAAAATAACAAAACGTTTATGATGTAAATAAAACATTCATTTTTCATTGAACGAAGCATTAATTGTGTTTTCTTGAACGATGACAAAAGTGTTAATTCACTTAATATTGTGTACTTGTATCTTTCCATCGATGTTTACGACTGTAATTGATCAGTCTCTTATTGACATATGTGTATCCTGTGCGGATTTTATCTCAATCAAATCATCTAACTTAAAGGAGTTTTCGTTTTTGATGGAGTTTTGTTCTCTGAGTTGGATGGTTTGATCGTGGAGCTTTCATCGTCCTTCTGAACAAAATCATCAGCAGAAACTTTCGGTAGAAGTGAAGTGTTTGAATTTCTCCACATATGATTCACAGCTTGTTCTGTGCACCTCGATGTTGAATAACTCTTATTGACCTTAATTTTGTCAATGTTTATTTCTTTGTTTTGTCTGTGAATCATATGTGGAAAAATTCAAATACTTCACTTCTACCCAAAGTTTGTGCTTATGATGTCGTTCAGCAGAACGATGAAAGCTCCACGACTAAACCATCTAGCTCAGAGAACAAAACTCCATTAAAATCACCTACCTGAGCTATAAATCTTCTCAATCAACTTAAAGGAGTCAACAACTCTCATAACAAACATATGAGCTATAAAGATTTTCTTTTTTTTTAAAAACTACTATAGAAGTAAAGATCTGAAAGTAATTAGAATAATTGAAATTCCCCTAATAGCTATTTAAAATGATTTTTTATATCACGATTTGGTTGTTGTTGTTGTTTTTTTCTTTTTTGTAATTTTATTAATGATTTTGAAAAATAAAATCTAAATGAAATCATGATTTAATTGAAGCTAGATCACTATGGAAAACCGTGGAATCACTGGACAGCCAAATCGTTCTATTATGATACTCCTCAGCAGTTGGCATCCACGATCCAATCTCACAAGATTTGAACCCATGACCTATCAATCTCGCGACTCATGATTTTAACTAAGAAAATATTGAAATCTCCACAAAACCTCTTATGACTAAATGAGATTGTTTTAAATGTTTATTTCAGAGAAAAAAGACAAAACAAGCAAGAAAACTGTATTAAATTCACATGGTAGTGTATAGTTGAATCTTCCTACTGATATTTATAACTGTAATTGATTAGTCGCTGATTGATATATGTGCATACTATGCGTATTGCCTCGATATTGCTTTAATTCACAGGTATTATAAGCAAAGATAGAGAGTGGCTAATAGTGGAATCCAGTTTGACGCGCGTTTCATCTTACTTAAAACTTGTCAGCTGAATGTATCTCCATTCAAGAGTCAGTGTTTACTCTGGAACTCGAACCCAGTACCGTTCGCTTCAAATGTTATTGCGCTTTCCACTCAGCTGAGATGTAATTACATCCAGCTGATGATTCACAAATAGGACGAAATACGCATAAAAACTGAATTCTACTGCTATCCACTATCTTTCATTGCTTATAAAAAAAAACAATTTCCTGTTTCTAAAGAATTAACATTATGACTATTTAAATGTTCAGTTATAAATTTGAGTTCAGATATATAAATACCCTATTATAGTGATTACAAGTATAATAGCTAATAATTAGTCAGTTAGACAATAACACTATTAGATCCCAGCTGGGTTGCTTAAAGATTAAGCGTTCACAGGTCCTAAGTTCAAGTCACTTATGCAAAATTTTAAATGTATACTGCTTAAGAATCCTACACTAGAACGAAACAATTGTACAGTGCTTCTGAGATTTTAATGATGATCTAACGTTGATCGGTTCATGATCTCAATAAACACTGTATAATCTTTTAAACCTTATACTGTGAAATAATATATGCTGACAGTTATTTGAACTCTGATATATGTATACCATAGACATCAACTATTGTATAAATACTATACCATAAAAATGATTGAATATTTAAAATTTGAAAATTATTGTAAACTGGGTAGTCAGAAGGAGTTTTGTGGAGATTTCAGTATTATTAATAATTGAAATCATTAGTTAATTGAAGCTAGACCACCATGGAGAACCTGGTAACACTCGATAATCATTTTATTTTAGTATGTCTAAATTAGACAGATTCGCAGAATTCAACAACAGCTCTAGACAATTCTTTTTATGGTAAGCAGAGATGGATAGTGGTTAGCAGTGGAATCCAGATTGATGCACGTTTCGTCCTATTTGGGACTCGTCAGCTGGATGCACCTGCATCTCAGAGTTGAGGTTCACTGTGGGACTCGAACCCAGTACCCTCGCTTCAAACGCCATCCCGTTATCCACTCGGCCACTGAGTCCTAATAGCCACTTGCTTGTGCGATGGGGTGAAGTTTAAATTCATTTTGTATTGCTTATTTGAATCTTCCCATCGATGTGTTATGACTGCAACTGATCAGTCTCTAATGCACATGTATACATACTGTGCTTACTGTGCGCGTCCTGGATTCCACTGCTAGCTACTATTCATCTTTACTTACAATGCTTGTAAATTAAGGCTATATTGAGGCAATACGCACAGTATGTACATATGCCAATTAGAGACTGATCAGTTGTAGTCCTAACACATCGATGGGAAGATTCAAACAAGCAATACAAAATGAATTTAATTATTTTTTTGTATTCTAAACTCTCAAGCACGTCTCCTTTTTTCTACTAATTTATTATTAAATTACTAATGAGTTTATTGACTGATATGAGTATGTACGTGTTAGGAAATAATTTTTATCAAATGAGTTTATTGAAAGTTGAGAACTATAAGTAGTAAATTATTGAAAATTTTAAATTATGAATTAAAATATTTATCAATGATAGATAGTGACTAGCTATGGAATCCAGGTTGATGAGCGTTTCGTCCTATTTGGGACTCGTCAGCTGAACGAAAAGCGCGTCCAACTGGATTCCACTGTTAGCCACTATCCATCACTGCTTATAAATCTTATGACTTCAGGCAATATCGAGACAGTCCGCACAGGATGTGCATATGTCAACAAGAAACTGATCAATTGTATTCCTAAATAATAATGGAAGATACAAGTGAACAACACCAAGTGAATAAAATATTTATCTTTTTAACAATCCTTTATTTTATTCTCATTGTTTTAAATAAACATTTGACCTGATGGTAATTGGTAATTTAAAAGTCAACATTATCATAAACCAGTCCAAGTTAGATGACTACGGACAATCTATCATCATCATCAGACAACTAGTTCATCTTAATACGGAATTACTTTAGAATACTGAAATGTTTAAGTTCAATCTATTCTTATTACAAGTAATTAGCTTCAAAAGGAAACTTTCGTTATTCTTCTCAGTAACCGTGATTAGTAGAATTCAACTGTATTATATCTCAGGAATGTCACTGGACTTTATTAAACACACAAATCATTGAATTTCAGCTCAGTAATTTAAAAGTTAAATATTTACGTGCAAAGATCGAGGATTCTACATTCTATCTTTTGTAATCGAGTCATGAGTACATACTACTGAATTGCCTTTTATTAAAATGTAACAACTATCTAATATTTTCAAATTTTCAATGTTTGTTTCACTTAGATCGGTACATACTGTCAATAGCACTTAACAATCTTTTTAAATAAGAGTGTTAGTAACCAAGACTCAATACATATAATGTAACAAAATTCAAATTATTTTGATTATTCTTTTTTTTCAATCGAATTTATATGAGTGAATTTTTTGTTTG